GTCTGACGAGACTAGGTATTAGATAACTAAAATTAACAGTTTGAGTTCTATTATTAACAAACGTATTAAATTAGATGGGAGAGTCATCTTCGCTTATGTAATATTTATTTTTGATTAATCGATTAATAAATAAATTATATGTGGTTATAAAAAAAATAGTATTGCATGAGGAGAAAAGAATAAGAAATGACGAAACCCAACTAGGACAGATTTACGGTCTGATTCTTATTCTTTTGCAGCAGTCGTCGCTTTTTCATTCTCTTGTAAAATTTGAAATGATTTTGAAGCCTGTGACTACATCTAACACTAGTTTATAGCAATTCAATTATTCAAAGAATCAATGCGACTGAGACAGAGTTGTTGGATATCTGACCAATTTCCCTAATACTAAGGCATTTGGATCAACTTCCCATCGGGGTCCCCCCATGCGTAATTTGCCCTATCAAACTAACCTTTAAACACAGGACATGTCCGGTCCTTGCCAAAACTTATAGCCCTTCAATTCATTATTGAATTCATGCCCTACTTTTCAACTAAAAGCCATTTCACCTTGAATTAATTCCCTACTCCACTAGTATAAACCAAGGGGAAATTACTGTATTTAAATGCTTCGCTTATTTTTATGTATTGTGTTGTATTTCCTCTAAATCTTCTTCATAAACTATACTTTTATTGTTATTCTTCTGTCTATCAAAATTTTCAAAAGAAATTTTTTATTGATCGAAGTCTCGGAGTTCTTAAAAACTTTCAAAATTCTATATCCACTAACCAGCCGTTATCCCTTGATGTTATCACTGACCTAGGGATAGTCATAACCATATTTATTTATTCTGTTAAAGTCAAATTTATTGTCTGACAGTCATATTTATTTATCCTATTAGTTTATGGATAGACTCGAGCACTAAGGGATTTGTATATAAACCCTCATGCAAGGCTGGAGGACAAATCTCGAATCCTCTCTTTGAATCACACCATATGTCATCTTCTTCAACTTATTATTAATTCTCCATCTTCTTTATTGAACTACTGATCACAAATAAATTGTTTAAAACCGTCATAACGTATTTTTTCCATCAACATACTGTAATCTTTATAAGGTAAAATTATGATCATTTATGGTCGTAAAATTATACAATATTTATCATAATATTACATATATACGTTCCATAATGTGTAAGGAAACATGTCATTGTATCTGAAAGTAGTCAAGTATGTAAACTATATCCCGGCTAGGTAAGTGTGCACTCCAAAATTCAAAATTTCTCCTATTAGTTATTCATTTAACTATGTTCACCGTAAAATTTTATTTTTGTCCATTCACATATAAAAATTTTATATTATTAATATATGATTACCCTAAAAAATATTTCTGAATCCGTCACGTCCGGTATCTTATAGATCAACCTTCCGCTTGCATTTTTGTGCTTGAATTGCTTGGCTGAAGATGTCCACTGTCATGGAGCAATTCATCTTTACAGTAACATGCCTCTTTATAATGTTCAACATATTGACCCTTCCTCCAATTCTCGAGTAGCTGCTCATGGTCAAAGTCCCCGAGCTGGCGTCTGACATCAAATTCGGACTGGCCAAGAGCCGATCCATGATAATATCGATAGTAATATTCATCCGCACGGTTCGACGGGGCTTCGCACGGCCTGCGGGGCCCCGGGCATTCCCAACCACCTTGCCATAATAGTAAAGAGTTGTGGTGGTATTCCTATATTTGAACGATGCTATGTTGGGATTTTTAACTGACACGTCGGCTCTTACGGTGATGTTGGAACCCGGCTTAGGAGTTGTGCCGTTGATTAGCTCCAGGTTTGTAACCGTGATGCCGTTCATTTCGATGGTCGGATCCTTGACTCGAAGAACCGTGAAAATCAGAGTTATGACCACTGCAGCTAGAACGGTGGTTAGAGCAGCAATGGAACCTAAACATTTGATGAATTTCTTAGGTCCAGCTTTACTCGGATGCAGAGCTGCCTCTCCATCGTCGCTCTTGGGAAGGTCCGACGCCGGTGCTAGAGGCTTTGCCTGGTCCATTTCCGCCATGGGAAGAGTTGAATCGGGAAACTAAGGGAAGGATGTTTAGGAAATCTTGGAGGGATATAATTTTGTGGTTTTATAATGTTTTTAGTTCGTGAGTCTGCTACATTTTAATAATGCAATTGACGCATTCTTGATTTGATTCCATTTTTCTTCTTCTTATTTGCGTTGCATTTCAAATCCCAGGCTGCTCCATGTTGACTTGGAGCTCATTTTGCATCCTTGCTTTGAATTTACACTTCCAGTATTAAATGGTTTCCATTTCTTTCATACAAAAGTCATTACGTATGGAGAAATTTAATCAATTAATTAATTAGCGTTACACTATTACGTGTATGATAAGGCACTTTAGATTCGAATGTTGAAAACGATATTATTAAAAAGGAAAAATATAAATTTTAAATATGAAGAGTAAAACAAACATAAAATATATCAAAAATAAAATGTTGAGGTGGCTCCCTTTAATGAGACTAACGTGGTTTCCTGGCATTGATAAATTTATGAACATCAACATCATCTGAGGCAACTGCTAACCACTTCTTCTCTGCAATTAATAACCGGACTGACCTTATTTTTCTTCAATAACCATACAAATTGAGAGGTTTCCAAATCATATCGGAAAGACATAAAATGGAAAGAAAATCAAAAGAAGTCTTTGAGAGTAGGAAACTTGATCTTTCTTTTCGGAGAGACGGGGACGATGACGTGTCCGACGATCAGAAGATCAGTTGTCGATAACTAAAAAGAATAATTTTATATAATAAGGTGTGATGAGTTGAATAATGTCATGACAAATATATATATTTTTTCTTCTAAATTCTTGTCATCAAAGAAAAATACATATTTCACATGTTATTTGTATCTAATATCTATAACAATATAGCGAAGCTATCCAATACACGAGATAGCTAAATTAGATATTAACCTTTACCTAAATCAGTTAGGTCATTAAAGATTTTAAAGTGGTTTTCTCAATTAACTTTGTTAGAGTGAGCTGTTGTTAGTTGTAACTAACTGGGTTTATGTTAGTTGGTTCAGTTGTATGCTTTGGGCTATAAATACTATAAGTTAGTCTGAGCCCATCAGTTGGTTATTGCATAATAATAATAAGTCGGACTTATTCTCCCGGTACCTTTCTCTGCTTGCTCTCAATGGTTTAATCTTCTTAAACAGTTCATATATTCTTTATTTTATCTCCGGCAACCGGTTAAATGACTCACCGGATGTCTATCCTAGTATCATTCGTCGATCATTCTCAGGTTGTTGTTTTCGTCACAAAAATTATTTAACCGGCCGTTATTTTTTTTCATCCGCGATTGTCCTCGGCCGTTGACAATTAACTCTTATTCCCTTGGCTGTTATCGATTCGTTCGATCTTAATTCTTCGGTCATTAACTCTTATTAAGTCATCAACGAAAATCTTAATTAAAAATTAAAAAATAAGCAAAACCCACCTAAGTGACCAAAATCTAACGTGGACTTAAAAACCCTAACACCCATATAATTACTCTCCTCATTCTTAATCTCTTAAACCTTCCATAAGTTAGCTGATAACAACGAAAATGCTCCTCTTTCAAGTCGTCTGATAGAAAAAAAATGGTACAAGTATTTGAGTGAATTGTTAAGTCTTTTGTCATTTGGTTTAAAGAAGAAGAAGAAGAAGAAGAAGAACCCAAAAGACATAGACAGACACTATCCATCATCGGAGTTATTCAAAGTCTTATTATTGATATACAACTTTCTTATCTTAGAGTATGATATGCTCAAAGGTAAATTTAGTCACTTCAAGCTTTATGGGCCTTTTCTAGTCTTGGGATGATGATGAAGAATGTAGTCTTCTAAGGATGTGCTTTTAAGCTTTCATATCATAGGCTTAGGGCAATGATACTAGTAAGGAATACTGATACTAAATGAATATAGTAGAATTTCCTAATATCTTATAATATCAATACTAAGATAAGAATATTGGTAATAGATGGACAATAATGATACCTAAAGAATGAGTATTGATACTCATTTTTAAAAAGGCCTAGGTTTTTATGGGTGATCTTGAGGTATTGATATATTGATTCTTACTTTCTTCAATATAAGATGTCATTAGAAAAATTGCTCCTTTAAATATATCTGTTTTAGGATTTTTGGAAGAAAAAAATGAAAGATGAAGAATAGGGAAAAAATGAAGAAGATAAGGTAAGCTCATGAAAATAACTTTTGCCCCCTCTCACCCACGTAAATGCAAATCAAAATTAATGAGAGACCAACTTTCTTCCAATTTTAAAATAACCATCAATTTTAACTTCAAATTCATTAGCTGAGAGTCCAATCATTTCATTGTATATTAGTGTAAATATCATTAGGTTTTAAATAAGTCCAAACTGAATGAATAAACTTTTATTCATGTTTATTTGTATATTTTTAAATTTGCTCCTGTTTGTTTTGTATTCATTAAAAAAATTCATGTTTGTATATTTAAAAATTATTCATATTTGTGTCCAACATTAAATAAACATATTCACAAGTTTAATATTAACAAATAATTGAATATGTTTACAAATAAATAAAAATATATATGTGAATAAACCCAAGTTGACGTAGGAGGATATGTTCTCCCTCGATGATTCGTATATGAGCAACATTGTGTGCAAAGTATGCTTTAGTTTATTCAACTATAATAAAGATAAAAACTATAGTAGGACTAGATCAAAGAACGTTAAAAATCTATTTGTAAATAATAAAAAGTGGATCATAAAGAAACATTTAATTCTTATTTTTTAATATAAGATGATCAAACATAAAAATTAATAATTATATTATAAATTAATAAATAAAATAAAATATCGAAAATTAGGAAATTGAAATAAACATAATAAGGTTATCTAAGATATTAACATGAATTATTTATGCAACTTAACACTTTACATGGTAAGATTGATTATTTGTTGTTGGGGCTAATAAGTTAGTTAAAGTGATGAGGTGAATTAGGGTTGGAAGTTGATATTAAACCTAGAAAGGAATTGCATTTGCTTGAGAAGAGGGGTTAGGGTTTCCATTATCTTCTCACAAGGATGGTTGTGAATTCCTTCGTAAGTAGTCACCACGATGCTGCTGTCTTTTGCCAGCCTCTGAACCTGTTTCTTCACGTTGCATGTGGGATGCGTGCACCGGTAATAACTCCTATTCCATTTACAAATCAATAAATGAATATATATTCCATGCAATTTTTGTAATAAAAAAATATGCATGAAAACCCAAGAACAAACAAACATGGCAAAGTATGCTAGAGAAAACAGTAGTTTTGATTATAAATAAACCTTGGATAGTTGCTGTTTTTGACAGCTTTTTGCCCATACTTTCTCCACCGATACCCATCGTCCAAAATATCATCAGCACTCCTGGTTTGGAACGCAAACCTCGGCCGGATTGTCTTTTTGAACCGACAACCTTTCCTCTTCTCTTTGTTGTTTCCATTCTCAGTCTGATGGTCGCCTCCGTTTGGGGTCATCGAAGAAGGAGCTTCAATAATTGGCTTGCTGTGATCATCATGACCCAGAAAAGATTGACCGGAGAGGAGGCTAACCCAATCAATATCGGGGATCATTTGAGTATCTAAAGGAGGGTGAAGTGAGGAGGATGGGGTTGGAAGAAAAGGAGGCGTGGGAGGTGACAATAACGGTGGCACAGCCGGTGGTGGGATAGTTTCTTGGCCATCCATAGGTGAAGAAGATAAAATTCTGAGGGCTCCACAGGGAATATAAGGGGAGAAATAATAAAAGAGGAAGTGAGAATGATAGAGAAATGAAGATTAAAAGGGGGAAAGAAAGTGGTGTGGGAAGGTGGAAGAGGTTGGACTACTCCACATATATAGAGATTTAGAATAAGAATTGATTGAGTTTTAGGAGAGGGGAGTATATATATTCCTCTATATATCTTGCAACTTTGGTGGAGCCAACAACATCTCACCTACATTTGTTCAACTGCCCCTCCCCATCCCTTCCCCTCAAGTAATAAAAGGCGTCTTCCCAATCCTATACATGCTGCCTTCTCAACACGTTATCACCCCAACCATGCATATATATATATATATATATATATATATATATTGAGCTATTTAGAGGTAATAGAAAATATTGATCTCCTTAAAGAATTCGGGTTTAAGTTACTTCATCTATAAAATATGTGTTGTAGATAAACTAAAAATAATAATTTTAGATCATTTTTTCATTTTAATTTATACAAATGCAATATCAAATTTTAGATTAGATTTTCAAGTTGAATTAGAATTATCAAATCTATCATTGTAATTTTTTAAAAGGCTCGTTAAAAAAGTGTCCCTAAACTATACTCCATTTCTTACTTTAAACCCCTAAACTATATTTTAGTTAAAATAAGTCCTTAAACTATTGTATGTAACCACTTTAGATCCTACTATATTTTCAATTAGAAAATTCTTTTCCAAACAATGAAATATTGATATGTCGCACTAAATTAGGTACTTGTTTTGACAAAACATTTTAGGGACTTAAAGCAAAAATGAGCATAATTTAAGGTATAGTGAAAAGTTTAAAGACTTGTTTTGAACAAAAAGTTCAGAGGCTTCAAGTAAAAGAAAGGTATAGAGTAGGAAATTTTTTAAAGTTTAAGCCTTTTTTAAAAATATATTTAGTTTTGAGATAAGAGATAAACGTTAGAAAACATGCCTAGTCCCACTGGATCAAATTATTAGGACCTGCGATTAAGTCCCTCATAAAATTAAAGTCAGCTAGTCCATGACTGGGGAAGAAGAGTCCTAAGTTAGGTCACCCGCAAGACTTGGGAAATTCATTCATTACCAGGTGGTCAAAATTCCATTTCCTCTACCTCTACCCTTTAGTTTTATCAAGTCATCTACATTTACCCAACATCCGGGAAGGTAGACAATGGAATTGTTCAGCCAATCACAACACCATAAAACCCCAAACTAAGCTTACTTTTGTAGTTCATCATACCAATACCAAGACCATGGCTAGTCATTCAAATTAGATGCAACCATTATTGCTTCATAGATGAGAGGGAAAAGTAATAGAAACAAAGTGATATGAATACAACATAAAAAAGAAGAAAAATGACCGTGCATTAATAGTCACCAACAAATGGAGACTCTACTTAAAAAAATTGCCATCAGCTGATAATCATCTTCTTAAAAATTCAGCTTGTTCGGGAAAATAATCCAAGAGTTCATCCTTGGTCACCCAGACAAAATCATCACCCTTCTGGATATTGAACTTGCTGGTATCAATCACTTGAGACTTGAAGAAGAATCTCTGGGAAAAAGACAAGCGCACGAGAGGGAAATAAATATCCAAGCGAAGTGATGAATGTTAGTTATCTATACGTGATTGGTATTTGATTAACAGGACTAACAAAGATAAGAATTGTACAAACATCAGAAGAATAAAATGTAACCACTTCGCCTGAAATACCTTATATGGTTCGAGCATGTTCTCCGTCTGTTGTATAACCATATGCCCCATTGGAGCATTTCCAACGAAGTAAGAATGAGAAAGGTCTCCATGTACAGATTCTAAGGCAGACTCTGCACACTGCAAATATTTCGTATTTAAATCAAGTAATAATAGAAGAGAGAAAAAGAAAACAAGAAAATAAAACAACCATTACCTTGCGCAATGTCTCCTCAGAATCATAAACTTTTTCTGGAAAATGCCACGCTGGTTTCCCACTAGTAGCTCCATTACTATTACCATATAGAAGAAGGTACAGTCTTCTATCAAATGCTCTCTGCAATGACCTTCATAAATATAAAATTCAAAACTTTCTTGATTAGTATAGTATATTGTACTAAATTACTATGACGGCGCAAATATACTAATTTCATTTTTTTTATCCACACAAGCCACAACCACCAAGAGGAATATAATAGTTTCTTGAGAACAATGTTTATTGTTCCTATAGATTGTTAATTCCTGATGACATACATTTGATCTCTATCAAACAAAGGATAACCTATTGGTAACAGTGTTCCACTGAACGATATAAATGTACCACTTTATTTCTGTCATTCATTTTGTCAGCTTCCTAGAAATAATTAATTCATATTTCAGGCAATTTATTCCTGCAGATTGTTAATTCTAGCTAAAATATATTAGATCTCTTTCAAACAAGGAATGATCCCTTGGTAATGAAGTTCCAATTGTGAATATGAAATCTACCACTCACTTTCTGTCATTTGTTTTATCAGCTTCAGTGATCCTTGGAGCTGGAACATAGTCAATTTGGTAGTCACCTTTTCCCCTGTTTATATAACAATTTCACTTTATTTGCTGAAAATTGAAACAATTTCTGAATTTGCAAATTTGCAGTCGTACGTGTGTATGCATTGACAGAGCAAAGCAAGGAGAAAGAGTGTAGCATATATAATACAAGTATATAACCCAATGAAAAAAAGACTTTCTGATTGCTTTTATATTCCATTAAAACTCTCGTAGTAGAGCCAAAATTAGGCATCTTGAATCAACCTTGAGGCTGTTGTTTTTCATTTGAAGAAAGAAAATAGGCCTATATTAATCCACATTGTCTTCCCTGAACCAACTTTCAGAGGAATCAACTCGAAATCTCATGTGACACAAGTTCAATTCGATAAATCAACTGCTTCTCTGTTTTTAGTTACTTATTTCTGATTTGGATGTAAGAAAAAGTTTATGCAGATGAATCTTATCCGGCATAGTGTTAAGTATGGATCACAAAGGACCTAACATACAAGGAAACGCTCCTACTACAATATGTAATACAAAGGAATCAAATTTCAAACTTGCCTAGATTTAGACATGTCCAAAAATTTATCAGGATATTTGCGTCGATATTGCTGCCTCCATCGAAAGCTGCACAAAACAAAAGCGATTACAAACATAAAATCCAAGCCTTTCATCTCGTTCATTAAAATCATAATTAGTAGTGGAAACTTGAACGAAAAAGGATAATAATTTCGCGTCATAAGCCATCAAGCAGAGAGAAATATTTAGGGTTTTCTTCCCTTTTAAATTATTACAAGTGTCCTTTTTTGCATCACTGAGCTAATCATCTTGTTCTGAAGCAAATGGAAATCTAAGATATCCAAGAAGGAATATTCCCGGGTTTTCTCGGCAGTAAAACAAGGAGGGGGAATTAAAACTTACGATAACTCCTGAAACGCATAAACCACAGGATCCAATTTGGGAATAACGACGGGTAATCTCTCGAACAGTACGGAGGCCACAATTTTCTCGGAGGTCGTCGAAAACCCACGCGCCCCCACGATTGGTCGAACCAGCGACGTTAAGGATCCACGCATTCTCTGCTTACAAAGAGAAAGGCCCTGCTTAAACCCTAAAATGAAATTGCAGACGTGTATCGGTGAGGAGCAAGTAGAGACTGTACCTTTTTCCTCTCTGATTTTCTTTTGGGCCAAACAGACTTGAGTTGAGAATTTTCTTCTTTAGGAACCGAAATGCAAACAGTAAGGCCCTGTATAGCGAGCCAGTGGACCCGTGTGTTAACCGGTCCATTTGATAAACATCGGCCACACTGAATCTCATTATCCAAATACTCTTGGATCATTAAGGGGTCCATTTCACACCGCACCGAAGGCAACCGGCATCCCAATGGACTATTTTATACGAGGGTGTTTGATTCATGATATATAAAATTATTTTTTAGAATTAAATTAATAGAAAGTAACATCACTTTAGAAATATTATTGTATTATATTGCTTGGTTTGTTTAACAATATTAAAATATTACAGTGTTTGATTGGAAGAATATAAGATTACTTGAATGTATATTTTATCAAATTATCCTTATAATATATATTTTTTTCAACAAGTTAAACTTTAATATTACATTATAAATTTAACTTATAATTAATATAATTAATATTTCAAACTTATATTTTTAAATAATTTTCATAAAAATCATATTTATTTATATATAATATAATATAATATAATATAATATGAGAAAAACAATATTATGATCTCGAGTGGACCGAGATATTATATTTAATGTATAAGATATATTTTTAATAACTCAAAGTTAAATATTGTTTTAAATAATTAATTTTTTTACAATAATATTATTTTTTCATCACATAAATTTATAAATAATTAATATATTAAAAAATAAAAATATAAAATAATTTTAACTATTTAAATTTATTAATATTTTATTAAATCAAACTTTTTGTATATTATTATTATGTTTATAATTTTGAGTAAAGTGCGAAAAAAAATTGAGAATGATCCATATAAAAAGAGTTCATTATTTCAGGGGTGTTCTTGTCCAAAGTGATGAAAATTGTGTAATAAATAAGAATTTGGAGGTAATGACATTTCCACAATTTTAACCAAAAACTACTTCTATTAGTATAGGTTATTATCTGGTAATGATTTTTTTTGTTAACCAAACTAAGGTTGTAAACGAGCCGAGTCGAGCTCGAGTATTGTTGAGCTTGACTCGACTCGAAAACTTTAAAATGGAGCTCAACTCGGCTCAAAAACTCGCGAGCCTTAAATTTTTGAAGTTTGACTCGAACTCGAAACCATGAATTGAGACTTGAAATAAAAAAAAATAAAAATTTTAAACTTAACTCTATTGAAGCTCAAACAAACTCGAACCTAAACTTTAAGTGCATAAAAACCTTATATTACATTTAAAAAAGATCAACATATAAATATTAATATTATTAATAATTTAATACTTTTTAAAATAATATTTTAATATATTATTTTTTTGACTTGCTCGCGAGCTTTTTTGAGTTGAGTATCAAGTAGCTCGTTTCGGCTTGTTAAGAATTTGAATCAAGTTTGTTCGAGTCGAGTATTTATCGAGTTTTGACCGAGTCGATCTCGAGTAACTCACGATCTATCTCGTTTCATTTACCGCCTTAAATCAAACATGAGAATGCAATTTCAAAAAAGATTATTCCCCTTAATAATGATATTTACGCGAATTAAACATTCATAAGTTTAAAATCTAACAGGGATTTGAAAAGAAAAAAAATGGAACTTAAAAATTAAGTATATTTTTTAATAATTCGAGATGTAATATAAAATAATATATGATCAAATTTTTTTAACCAATTAATAATGTGTACATACCTTACAAACGTAATCCCTTGAACTCAAAATCTTTTATAAAATATTCTATTTTATCAACGAAACTAGTTGACGAATTTAAATTAAATATATTTAAAATATAAATTATATTTAGTTATATCGTCCAAATTCAGTCCAACTTGAACGATTTTATGTGTTTATATATAATTTTATTTTAATATATCATATAGTTTATATTACGTAAAATTAAATATATAATAATATATAATACTGAATTATAAGTTTTAAAAAGTGTATTAAGTTATTCGTGCACAAAAATAAAAAAAATAATGATAAAATAAAAGTATAAAATTGTCATTTTTAATGATAGTTATTAAATATAAAATTAAAAGTAGAAGAAATTTAAAAAATATGTTAATAGATTCAAGAGAAATTGATATTTATATTTCAAAGAGATAATTGTATCATATGTCCCAAAACTATAACCCTCATTTTAAATCAATCCTTAAACTTTTGAATATTCTAATTTCATCCTCAAATTCATCCAAATATGTAATTAGTTTCAACCATTATTTAACCTAATATTTTTTTGAAACATATAATAATATAACATGACCTAACGATTTTACTAACAAAGGATGTGATTAGTATATACATATAGTTTGTGATGAAATTGGAATATTCAAAAAGTTTGATCATAGTTTATGGGTGAAATTGAAATGTTCAAAAGTTTGAGGATTAATTTAAAATATTAGTTATAATTTAAAGATAAAATTAAAATATTTAAAAATTTAGGAATCAATTTAAAATAAAAATCATACTTTGAGTACATGTGACACAAGTAACTCATTTTCAAATTAAATCAAATTTAAATAAATTTAAAATGTATTATTTAATTTTGTACATAAATTTTTGTTCTTTTCTAATCGCTGGTTTGGTCTATCTACAATATACACAGTCCAAAATCCCAACTACCACCAAAAACAAAAAACATCATAACTCTTCGTTTGTTTATCTCTTACTTTTCTCCTCCCCTGGAACCTCGACGATGGCATTTTTAACCAAACTCTTCAAGACTTCTTCGCTGACCAGAGCCTGCCTAAGTCGCTGCATGAGCCATGTCCCAGAGAACACCGTGTACGGTGGCCCAACGCCTTAAAACCCGGACCAGAGAGTGACCCTTAACCAGTTGAAGCAAAAATACAAAAAGGGCGAGTCCATCACCGTTGTCACAGCCTATGACTATCCATCGGCGGTCCACATCGACACCGCTGGCATCGATATATGCCTTGTTGGAGACTCTGCGTCCATGGTCGTTCACGGCCATGACACTACGCTCCCTATATCCCTTGAGGAAATGCTCGTTCATTGCCGCGCTGCTGCTCGCGGTGCCAAGCGACCGCTTCTTGTCGGTGATTTGCCTTTTGGGACCTATGAGACAAGCACCAGTCTTGTAAGCTCGTGAACAAAAAAAAATTCCGTTTTAACCGCATTGTACTACTGGGAATGGGAATTGATGAACCTGCGCTCTCTGAATGAATTTTTCATATTTTTTAGAACAAAATTTTAGTCTTTTTAAGTTATCTGTAATTTGTTGAATCTCATCAAACAGTGTTGCTGGAAACTGGGTTTTCTGGACTGGAATGTTTGATGTTACTGCAGTTTGGATTATGAACAGGCTGTTGATACGGCGGTTAAGGTCTTAAAGGAAGGAGCAATGGATGCTATCAAATTAGAAGAGGGTCCCCTTCAAGAATCACTGCCGCAAAAGCCATTGTTGAAGCTGGAATTGCGGTTATCGGACATGTCGGACTTACTCCTTGATGGGAAATAAACCAAGTACGAGTAATTTTCCTATAACCAGATTAGTGAGAATGCAAAATAAAAGCGGAAAAATAATACCTGAAATTGATAACGGAGTTCAGCCAATTGTGCTTACATCTCCGGACTGCTGCAGATCTTTTACTAAGAGAGAAAATTTACAGGTGTTTACAAAACACTCAATACTCACAAGAAAACTCTCTAGTATTGGGAGAAAGAAATGATTTTTGGGATGTTTTGAAGCTAAATGAGCTAGGGTATTTATAGTTGAAACTTAAGGACTTAATCTTGTAAATACCCTAAAGCCTAGGGATTAATTGTGATTATCCCATTATCATTTTTCAACAAACATCTACCAAACTTTGAAAAACTATTTTTCAAAGAAACATTTACCAAACTTTGAAAACCATTTTCAAAGAAACATTTACCAAACTTTGAAAATCATTTTTTCAAAGTTGGTTACCAAACTTGAAAAACATTTTAATACTTTCAACAATCTCCCACTTGAAGACTGATTTTAATCTGCCTTCACACCTCGATTTATGCAACAGCTTTTCTAGTCTTGTTACTCTAGCATGCCAACTGAAATTGAACATAACTTCAGTTTGTCTGTAGTCACCGTCTTTGTCAACATATCTGCCGGATTTTGAGCTCCACTGATCTTTTCAAGTTTCAAAATCTCATCTTCCAGAAGAGACCGGATAAAATGATATCGCAATTGTATGTGCTTTGTCCTGGAATGAAAAGACGGATTCTTTGCTAGATGTATAGCACTTTGACTGTCGCAATACAAGATATTGTTTTCTTGTTTCTTGCCTAACTCTTCCAAGAAACTTTGGAGCCAAACCATCTCCTTGCTAGCTTCCGTAATAGCGACATATTCTGCTTCAGTTGTGGAGAGAGCAACTATCTTCTGTAGTTGAGAAACCCAACTCACTGCGGTTCCTCCTAGAGTATAGACATACCCTGTAGTGCTCCTTCTGATGTCAACATTTCCGGCTAAGTCAGCATCTACATAGCCTGTCAGTATCGTATCTCCACCTTTGAAACAAAGTGCTTTGTTTGTGGTACCCCGCAGATATCTGTGGATCCATTTGACTGCTTCCCAGTGTACCTTGCCCGGATTATTCATGTACCTGCTAACAGGTCCCACTGCTTGAGCAATATCTGGTCTGGTACAAACCATGGCATACATCAGACTTCCAATCTCTGAGGCGTATGGCACCTTCACCATGTGTGCACGTTCTTCCTCCGTCTTTGGTGACTGTTCTTTGGAGAGTCTAAAATGAACACCTAAAGGTGTACTTACTGGTTTAGCATCTTGCATGTTGAACCTGGAGAGTACTTTGTTGATGTACTCAGCCTGTGATAATATCAAAGTCCCTGACTTTGTGTCTCTCTTGATCCTCATCCCAAGAATCTGCTTTGCAGCGCCCAGATCCTTCATAGCAAACTGCTTTGACAATTTTTACTTCAAGTTTATAATCTCTTGCATGTGTGAGCCTACAACGAGCATGTCATCAACGTACAACAATAAAATAATGAAGCTATTGTCGAACCTCTTGATGTAGCAACAATGATCTGCTTGGCATCTGGTAAAACCACTGGTACTCATGAAACTATCGAACTTCTTGTACCACTGTCTAGGAGCTTGTTTTAAACCATACAAGCTCTTCTTCAACCTGCATACCAGGTTTTTCTTGTCTGCCTCTATGAAGCCTTCTGGCTGCCTCATATAGATTTCTTCCTCCAAATCACCATGAAGGAAAGCTGTCTTTACATCTAACTGCTCAAGATGTAAATTCTCTGCAGCTACAATTTTCAACACCAGTATGATTGTAGACAGTTTCACGACTGGAGAGAAAATTTCATTGTAGTCAATACCTTCTTTTTGCTGAAAACCTTTGACAACCAATCTCGCTTTGTAGTGTTTGCTCCCATCGTGCTCTTCTTTGATCTTGTAAATCCACTTGTTGTGAAGCGCTTTCTTGCCTGGTGGTAATTCAGCTAATTCCCACGTCTGATTTGACAAAAGCGAGTCCATCTCATCTTTCATGGAAGACTCCCACTTGACTGAATCCTCCACTTGCATTGCTTCATCATAGCAATCTGGTTCACCATTGTCAGTCAGCAACAAGTAGTGCAAAGAAGGAGAATACCGTTGGGTTGGTTTAGGAATTCTGGAGGAGCGTCTTAGTTCCGGTGTGCCTGGTTCTTCTTGAACTGCTTCAGGACTGATCTGAACATCATTTCCAGAAATCTCCTCAAACTCAGCAAATTCCTTTGTTTCAGCTTTGGTATTGGAGCTGCTTGATTCTACAGTTGACCTGTCTTTGTACATCACATTCTCATTGAAAATGACATCTCTGCTTCTAATGATCTTCCGATTTTCATAGTCCCAAAACCGGTAACCGAACTCATCACCGCCGTAACCAACAAGGCACATTTGTTGGACTTAGCATCAAGTTTACTTCTTTCAGCAGAGTCTATGTGTACATAAGAAATACAACCAAACACTCTTAAGTGTGAAAGGTTTATTTCTTTCTTGCTCCAAACTTCCTCTGGTATTCTGCCATCCAAAGGAACTGAGGGCTCACGGTTGATCAGGTAAGTTGCAGTGTTAATAGCTTCAGCCCATAGAAATTTGGGCAATTCGGCATGTATCCTCATGCTTCTGGCACGTTCATTCAGAGTTCTGTTCATGCGCTCTGCTACGCCATTCTGTTGCGGTGTCATGGGAACTGTTGTCTCCATCTTGATCCCATTATTTGCGCAAAAATCTTTGAATCTCCTATTTCTGTACTCTCCTCCATTGTCAGACCTCAACCGCTTGACTTTCATACCATTCTCATTTTCCACCATGGCCTTCTATTTTCTGAAGGTATCAAAGACTTCTGATTTTTTCTTCAGAAAATAAACTCACACCTTCCTTGTAGAATCATCGATGAAGGTGACATAATATAATGAGCCTGCAAGAGATGGAACTGGAGATGGTCCCCATACATCAGTATGAACTAACTCTAACTTTTCAGCCTTGGGTGTCTTACCAATCTTTGCAAAGCTGACTTTCTATTGTTTGCCAAAGATGCAATCCTCGCATAGTCCGACATCTACATTATTTAGATCCGGCAGCTTCCCTTTTGACAGAAGTATCTTCATTCCTTTCTCGCTCATATGGCCAAGCCTTTGGTGCCATAGGTTTGATTTTCCATCAACATCTGCTACTGCAATGATATTCTCTAAATTTGAGGTTACATAGAGAGTAACAGTCTTCTTACCACGAGCAATGACGAGTGCTCCTTTGGTAATCTTCCATTCATAGCCTGAAAAGGTTGTACTGTATCCTTCTTCATCAAGCTGTCCTACAGAAATCAAATTTCTTTTGAGACCAGGAATATGTCTCACTTCTGTCAACTTCCAGGTGGTCTGGTTTGACAGCTTTAGTCGGATGTCTCCTTTTCCGACGATCTTCAAGGTTTCATCATCAGCAAGATGAACCTACCCAAAATCACCACTGACATAGTTCTCCATGATTTCTTGGCATGGCGTGGAGTGGAAAGATGCCCCTGAATCCAAAATCCATGATTCAATCGGACTGTTAACGCTTAAAATCATGGCATCACCTGTCTCCTCCGTCATGTTGGCTGATTCATGTGCGCCGATATTTTTCTTCGGTGCTCGGCAATCTCTTTTGAAGTGGCCCTTATTGCCGCAAATATAACAGGTAAAATCTTTTTTTCCTGTTCTTGATTTTCCCCTTCTAGATTTTGATCTGCCACGATTTGAATTTCTTCCTGAAGTTCTCCCTCTGGACTCCGTGTGCAAGGCTGAGGAGGTTGATGCTTCACCCGATTCTCTCCGTTGAATTTCTTCGCTCAGTACCAGATCCCGAACATCGTCGAATTTTAATTTGCTGTTTCCCGACGAACTGCTGACTGCTGTAACAGTAGCATTCTAACTGTCTGGTAAAGATGATAAGAGAATTAAAGCTCGAACTTCATCATCAAATTCAATTTCCACTGAACTCAACTGGGTTGTGATTGTGTTGAGTTCATTTAGGTGTTGTGCCACCGATGCCCCTTCCGTCATCCGCAAATTGAATAATCGCCTCATCAAATGAACTTTGTTTGAGGCCGATGACTTCTCATACATACTGGAGAGAGCCGTCATAAGACCCGCCGTGGTCTTTTTCTTTGCTATGTTGAAAACAACATTGCGGGATAACGTCAGTCGGATAAATCTGATGGCTTGTCTGTCGAGAAGAGCCCAATCTTCATTCTTCATGCCCTCTGGTTGTTTTCCTGAGAGGGGTTGATATAGATTTTTCTAGTATAGAAAATCTTCAATTTGCATCTTCCAAAATCCAAAGTCCGCACCATCGAACTTTTCAATTTTCACCTTCCCTTCGTCTGCAGCCATCGCTCCCACTCGAATCTGGCTTCGTTTGGATCGTTTCTGACAATTTTTGCGAACCGTCGTGTATTAGAACACATCCGTCGACAAAACTCGTATCGTCGACCGAATTTCACTATTCACGAAATTCACTATTCACATGAATAGTAACCCGAATAGTAACCTCGCAAAAAATTGATAAAATTCACAACCCAAAAGCTCTGATTACCAGTTGTTGGGAAATAAACCAAGTACAAGTAATTTCCCTATAACCAGATTAGTGAGAATGCAAAATAAAAGCGGAAAAATAATACCCAAAATTGATAACGGAGTTCAGCCAATTGTGCTTACGTCTTCGGACTGCTGCAGATCTTTTACTAAGAGAGAAAATTTACAGGTGTTTACAAAACACTCACTACTCACAAGAAAACTCTCTAGTATTGGGAGAAAGAAATGATTTTTGGGATGATTTTGAAGCTAAATGAGCTAGGGTATTTATAGTTGAAACTTAAGGACTTAATCTTGTAAATACCCTAAAGCCTAGGGATTAATTGTGATTATCCCATTATCATTTTTCAACAAACATCTACCAAACTTTGAAAAACTATTTTTCAAAGAAACATTTATCAAACTTTGAAAACCATTTTCAAAGAAACATTTACCAAACTTTGAAAATCATTTTTTCAAAGTTGGTTACCAAACTTGAAAAATATTTTAATACTTTCAACACTCCTCAGGCAATTAGTGTACTTGGGGGATTCAGACCACAAGGCAAAAATGTTTCTAGTGCCATCAAGGTCAGTTTCCTAGATTTTTTTTGCCTATTACCTTTGAATATATGCATACGTTTGTCTTCTGAACATGTAGATTTGGTTTGGTTTATAAAGGTTGTCGAGACTGCAATGGCTTTGCAGGAAGTGGGATGCTTCTCAGTTGTTTTAGAATGTGTGCCAGCACCTGTGGCTGCTGCAGCCACGTCTGCTCTTCATATTCCCACAATCGGCATTGGAGCCGGTCCTTTTTGCAGTGGACAGGTTAATTTAGACTGTTAATCTTTTCTGGCTCTTTGAAATCTAGGTCCCTACGTTGCCTTAATTGTGTACCTTTGGTGTAGAATTCCGGTTTGTGCATCACTAGCTAATTGATTTCTTTTTGCTATCACAATCAATTGTATGATAATAGATGATGTCTTGGTAAATGTTCTAGTTTACGAACCAACAACTGTTGGTCAAATTGAAAAACAAAAAATGAAGTGAATTGTAGGTCAATCAACCTTAGAACATATAATGGGTTTTCTGCGTAGCATAAAGTTCTTTAATTATATGAGAAAATTCAGAGAGCTTGCAGTGACTAGTTTTATCGTATAACCGTTAGTTGTTGTCGTAAGTGGTCTCTTCATATTGTAAGTTTATAGCCACTTCTTAGGCTGATGCTATCATTAGTGAGGCCAGGTTTGATGGTATAACACATCAGTTCTTGGGATTTATGGACCTCAAGTTTATTCCTATCTATGAATCTTAGGTTAAAGTTGACCTTTAAATATAAGTTTTACTCATAATGGGAGCCTTTTAACTGTATCAGCTCGTGTTTTTGGCTCATTCTGTCATCCCGAAAAGTTTAGATTTTATGCAATAGCAGGTTACAGAAATTCTCTCATAGATGATGTAGAGAAAACTTAGGTTTGATGCAAAAAGCCCAACGGTGTTTCTTCTTGTAAAAGCTTCTTTAACTTCATTTTTTGTTGCCTGTTCAACCGTAGTGCTCGATATTCACACTATATGCTTTGAAGAGACTAGAAAGCTTCTTATCAAAAAAAAAAAAATAGACTAGAAAGCTGCATTTTTTTGTCATGGAATTTGTATAATCGTGTTCCCTACTATTTGATCTTTTACTTCACAAAAGCGAAACGGACGTTCTATTTGTTGACTTATGAATGTTTGCTGTTAGTTTTAATTGTAGTGTTGATACAGGTTCTAGTTTACCATGATCTTCTAGGAATGTTGCAACACCCTCATCATGCAAAGGTAAAGCTCACAATTACCCTTTCGACCTCTCAGATTCTCTCGTTTTACATATAAAAAAATGTTCTGTAAGGGTGGTTGTTTCATCTTGTGCAGGTTACTCCAAAGTTCTGTAAGCAGTATGCTCGAGTCGGAGATGTCATCGACAAAGCTCTCTTAGGGTACAAGGAAGAAGTAAACAACGGTTCATTCCCCGGTCCTTCCCACAGTCCATACAAAATGAATGCCAATGACGTGAATGGATTTTTTAAAGAGTTGGAGAAATTGGGTTTGAATGAGGCGGCATCTGCAGCAGCTGCCGCAACCGAGAAGATGAGCACGCACAAAGGCCAGATGCTGAGAAGTCCCAGAAGTGACTAAAATAAGGCTAGGTTTGTTCGGCTTGTACCTTAATCTAAATTAATCAAGAACCAAATATGGCCATTTCTATCAGCATCGTATATATTTACAGGCACTCCATGCCGATTCACAGTTGGGATGAAATAATTATCGAGTTCAATTCGTAGCTAATCCTTCATACTCCATTTTTATCATGGTTGAGAAATGTCTTTTGTACGAAGTGAATCACCCATGGAGGATTGAAATTCTTTATTTGAATTTAATAGACAAGCACAAGGTAGCATGCATGAAAACCTGTTGAATCCTTGGACTAATCATGGGATCATCATAGTGGAGAAGAGATAATTATAATCCCTAAAGGCTTCATCAATATATTGGCAAACATATATGGCCTCAAGGCACTCGGCGAAATGCAGTTTATCAACTTAAGCCATTAGAATTACCATGTTGAGCTATATCCACAACAAATCCAATGATAATAAACACGATTAGGCTGAATTTCAAACCCAGGAAAAAGCCCTGAATTGCCCTACTTGCCTCTAATTCTAATTGGATGAAAAAAATATTGTAAATAATATAGAACTAAATTATAAAAAAAACACACACACACATTCGGGTCAATCTTGGTTTAACTAATTTTTTTTAGAGATTTAACCGAATAAAAATAAAATTTAAAAGATTTAATATATATTAATATTTATTTATTAAGGTTAGTCGGATAAAATTATTACATGACACATTATTGAAAAAAATTAACAGTATTAAAAAAATAAAAATAACTTGATAAATTATGAGGTAAAAGTCTTAACAAGTAATTAAAAAAAACAAATAAATAAAAGTATATTTTAAACGATAAATAACATTTAAGCTTATGAAGAAAAAAAATAATCCAATCTAATCAGAATGTTAATCTTCATCATCACATAGAGAAAAACGGAACCAACAAACGTCGAATTTTCAGTTACAGGTTCGAAGGTGTCGACCATAAACAAAGAGATTCCGTCCTCCATCTCCCCATCAAAAGTAAAAGAAGGATGAACATTGCAATTCCCGTTTCAAGGCACTCAAAACTCCTCCTCCCTAAACCCCAATCGGCATCTTACATCCTCATCCGTCACCTCTCCACCGAGGCTAGCCCTCAACAAGCTCCGCAAAAGGATGACTTAAAAATCAACCAAGCAGTTCAACTCCTCCTCCAAAACCCACACGAACACTGGCCCTCCAATCAACCCTTGCACTCTCTTCTCTTCTCTTCTCCTTCACCATCTCCTCGCTTTCTCTACAATGTTACTCGCAACCTTGCTTCCTCTGCTCTGGCCCTTAATTTCCTCAAACACCTTCAACAAAACTCCCCTACTCAAAACACCCATTTTCTCTCTTATCCATTCCAAGCCCTTGTCGAGCTAGCGGGTCGAGAACTCGATTCTGGGCCTCCGTTATTCGAACTGTACCGAGCTTCGAAAGAATGGGGAATTCCTCTAACTGTCAATGCCGCCGCGATTCTCATTCGGTATCTCGGGTGCCACAAGATGGTGGATGAATCTGTTGTTCTTTTTAACGAACTCGACCCTTCGCTTAAAAACACGCACGTTCGCAATGTATTTATTAATGTTTTGTTAAGAGATGGACGTTTAAAAAATGCGCTCAATGTGCTCGATGAAATGCTTCAACCGTTATCCGAGGTTCCGCCTGATAAAATTACCGGTGATATTGTTCTTAGCGCGTTGTTGAAGGGAGATAGGAAAGGGAACAACTTTAGTGAGGAAAATATCATTAAGTTAGTTTTAAGTTTTGGGAAACATGGTGTTTTTCCGAAGACGTTTTGGCTGACCCAAATGCTTTCTAGGTTATGTAGGAGTGGGAAAATCAATCAAGCTTGGAATGTTTTGCATGAACTGCTGACACTGCGAGCGCCCCTTGAAACTCCTCCTTTCCATGTACTTTTGACCGGGTTAGGGAGGAGTGGAGATATTAAAAGAATGAATACACTTCTGGCTGAGATGAAGGAGAGTGGTATTCAGCCCGATGTTGTAACTTTTGGGATTCTCATTAATCAGTTATGTAAGTTAAGGAGGGTCGATGATGCTATGGTGTTGTTAAACAAGCTTGGTGAAGAAAACAGGAGCTGTGGTGTTTCAATTTCAGCCGATGTTATCATGTATAATACCGTGATCGATGGACTTTGTAAAGTTGGGAGGCAAGAAGAAGGGTTGCATTTGATGGGACGGATGAGGTCGATGAAAGGATTGGAACCTAATATAGTTACTTATAATTGCTTGATTGATGGATTTTGTAAAACGGGAGAGATTGAGAGAGGGAAGTTGTTGTTTGAGCAGATGAATGAAGATGGGATTTCACCTAATCTGATCACTCTTAATACATTGATTGATGGAATGTGCAGACATGGGATGATCAATAGTGCACTAGAGTTCTTCAATGATATGCAAGGAAAAGGGTTGAAAGGCAATGCAGTTACTTATACTACCCTAATTACAGCTTACTGTAATGTCGACAATATTGCCAAGGCAGTTGATCTGTTCGATCAAATGTTAATGAGTGGATGCTCTCTGCATTCTAAGGTTTGCTACAGCTTGATCTCTAGTTTGTGCAAAGCTGGAAGGATGGATGATGCCAGCAATGTTTTGTCGAAGCTAAAAGAAGCCAAGTTCCGCCCCGACATTGTATGCTACAATTCGCTTGTTAGCGGGTTCTTTAAGGAAAACATGCTAAATAAAGCTTATGATATCATCAACGAAATGCTGGAAGCAGGGATGAAGCCTGATAGTGTCTCGTATAACACTTTGATTACTTATTTTTGCAAAACAGGGGATTTTGAACTTGCTGGCAAGGTGATGAAACAGATGATTAACCAAGGTGTCATCCCTACTACTGCAACGTACGGAGCCCTTATTCAAGCATACTGCTCGAATGGAAAGATTAAGGAAGCAATGAAGCTCTTCAACGACATGAGTTTCCTATCAAAGGTTCCACCAAACACTATGGTATATACCAGTCTTATAGAATCTCTATGCAAGAACAATGACATCAAAGGTGCGCTCTCTCTGATGGATGATATGAAAGCAAAAAGGGTGAAGCCTAATACCACCACATACAATGCAGTGCTCAAATGCCTTAAAGAGAACACTTTGTTGGAAGATGCCTATAGATTGATGGACGGTATGATTGAGAATGCTTGCAATCCAGATTCTACAACCATGGAGATTCTCAGGGAGCTGCTTTCTGGTGTTGATGGATCAAAAATATTAGAAAGCTTCGTACAAGGAAAAAGGGTTTCTCCCCTTTAGTGCGTAGAATGGCTGCAAATAATAAGGATTGTCTTTTGGCATTGATTTGATGAATTGATTCAGCAGATTGCTTTCCCTTTGCTTTCCATGTACCATTTTTAAATTCTTGGGAATAACTGAGGTTTCTTTTGTCAAATAACCCTTTGAAGTATACAGAAAGATGGTCATGAATCATCCCCAAAACTCAATCTTCATTTCCAGTAAAAAATACATAAATTCTAGGAAAACAAAACTGTAACTTTTCCTAAAGACTAGAAACAAGAAACCAAATCTTTTTTCCTCTACAAGACTCATTAATGGATTGTTGGCTTAGATTCTACCAAAAAGGGTATGACATGTACAAGAATATTTTTTTTTAAATAAGAACATATCCGGGGATGTTTTAGATTCCACCGGCTGCAGTAGCTGCACTGTTAGAAATCCGGGAAATTATCGGAAAAAATCTCCGGCGACCATTTCAACGATTCCTTCTAAACCCTCGAAGAAATCATCACTCACTGCCGTGTCCATCCTGAACTCATCTTCCCCTTCATCCTCAACCAAATCCTTTCTGCTGTCCACCATTGTACTTTGAACCACAACTTCTTCATCCACGGAGATCGCCGGAGACGAACTGTCGGCGGGTTTAGCCGAGGAGGTTTTTATCGAGTCACCGGCGACGTCCGTTTGTGGAGCCAAAGGTTTCTGGCGGGTGCTGCCGGCGAGTGAATTCCGGTGCGTTGGAGCAGGGTGGCTGTGTTCACCCGTGTACGTGACAATGAACATATTGGGGTCGGATCTGTGACGTTCCACTTGTTTGCGAGCCAAACACCCCTGTGAGCTGCTACATTTGTAATAGCTCCTGTTAAACAAACCAAAAGCATTAATAGAACGCCCAAACAAAAACCAATCTTTATTATATGATCAAATTAAAGAGACAACCACGTGATTTACCTTGGATAAGGAGACCCTTTGATGGATTTTTGACCATATTTTCTCCATGCCCACACATCTGAAGATAGACCCTCTGCCGGAACTTGACAAACCCTTTTCAGCTGATTCTTTCTGTTAAACGAGAAAGTAACAAAATTTTTCAATATAATCCATAACAGATCCGAGCTGGTTATGTGAAAATGACTAGTTTTAATGTTGAAATTTACCGTCTTTTACATCGAGAATTATGAGAACTGGGAATCCTACAAGTGCTACTAGCTGGTGTAGCAACGCTTGTAATAGAGACAGCGTGAGACTGCTTATGCTTATGCTTATGCTCTTGCTGTTGTTTCAGTTTCATCTTCGAGGAGAGAGTCTGAGATTTGGGGAAGAAAGGCTTGTAAAGCTCATGCAGTTCCTCCCTATCATTTCTGGCTTCGAACTGATTTGGGAAAGACAAGATTTGACCCTTAAAAGGTTCTTGACTGGAAAAAGGTGAAAACCCCGATCGAGGGTGCAAATCCGCCATGGAAGAGCTGTCTACACCACCACCACTGCTGGTGGTTGTGACGGTGGCGCAGCCTCTCACCACCGCATGCAAATCCCAATCAACATCCATGAGTTTTGTATCCTTTTTTATCTCTTATTCTGACGCAAAGCTCAGAAAAGGAAAAAGGAAATCTTCAGCTGGCTCTTTGAAAAGATAGAGAAGAATATGAAGACAAAACAAGGCGCTGACTTCTGGTGGTTATGAAGATAGAAAGAGGGTGGTTTGTATTTGTGTGGGCTTTTGCTATTATTATATATATAAAGAATAAGAAAAAAATCAAAACTAAAATCAAAATTAAAAAAAGAAAGTCGAGAGAGAGAGAGAGAGCATCTCAAAGCCTTATCGTTTGTGATTTGTTGTTTCTATTACTCGTTGATTCCGACATTGAAAACGGAGTTGACTTTTGGGTAATGTCAAAGGGTTCTTAATTGTGAAGGAGGAGAAAAGTTCCACGCGCTCTGTTTTCATCTCTTCTAGGTGGAGGAGCCTCGTGATTTGCCGACAAAAGGTGAAAAGGGTAAGAAACATGAAGAAGAAGAAACATAAAACAGATAATAACTGCTATTTTTAGGGATAGAATTGGAAACAAACTTCAGCATGAATCAAAATATAAATATTGATAAAATTAAAATATATATAATGGATTAAGTATAAATATTAATCATATAATTTATTTTTAAAAATATAAAAGAACAAAAAAATTTAAAATATGTCAGCATGAAATTCTTTAAGGAACTTTCATTTCTGTTACAGCACTGAAAGGAGGAAACAATTCTTTTTTTCTTCTTCTTCATATTTTCCTTCTATTTCGAAAGGTTAGAGAGAGAGGAAAAGCGCGCGAGATCAAAGTGTTCATAAAGTTTATTGAAAAAATCATGTCATTGAACACAAAATACCAAAGTTTTTGAAAGAAATTTGATGATAAGTGAGAAATAAGTGAATTTTAGTTAGGGTTTATATTTGGAAAGAAAGAGTGAGAATTCTTGAAACCCAAATCTTATAAATGGCTAATTATGGTGAAATTTGGATTATTAATACTAAACTAGTCACTTAAGATTATAAATGATAATATGAAAGGTTATAGAACATATGTTCTCGATGCGGAATTTGTTAGTTTTTTGGCAAAATCCCACATTGGTTGTGTATAAAGAGGAGGGAAAATTCTTTTGTTATAAATAGAGTCCTCCTCCTTAGTTTAGCATCCCAAAAATATAAGTATTCTTCACTATTAAAGGCTATTTGTACTCTTTCTCTCTTTGTAATATTTCCTCTATTAGTGAAATATTATTTTAGTAGTGTTCGAGGAGGTAGGCATAATTTTGGCATAACCTCGTTAAATTTTGGTATTATCTTTATGTCTATTTAATAGCTATTGTCGGGTATAGTTGTTGTTAATTATTATCCTATTAAAATTACTTATCTTGGTAGTTATGTCTAAGGAAAGTAGATTTTAAGAGGGACCATTGTGACCCCTCCTCTTTCCTGGGAATATACATTGGGGTGATTTTTAGTACAATCGTTTTCACACTAGTCACCTAGATAATAGTTTTCAAGGTGAATTTGTTATTATTGGTGGAAATTAACTCGAATTCCACAACAATTGGTATCAGCGCTCTTAGTTTATTTTAGTATGCTCTGTGGTTGCGGCTTAGGCTGATCTTCCACATTAGAAAAAATTTCCTTGGGGTAATTGACATTCCGCATTGACAGTTATTAAATAGAATTTGTAGCAGAAATGGCAGACGACACAAAAACACCTGCAAGAAATGCTGTGACAAATGTTAGATTTGCAGTGGAGATTTTTGATGGCACCGGTCATTTCGGCATGTGGCAAAGTGAGGTTCTAGATGTCCTATTTCAGCAAAGTCTAGACATTGCTATTGAATGAGAGAAACCAGATGATGTTAAGGAGAAAGAATGGAAGAGGATCAATAGATTGGCATGTGGTACTATTCGATCGTGTCTTTCTAAAGAGCAGCAATATGCATTTTCTAAGGAAACTTCTGCAAGTAAATTGTTGAAGGCACTGGAGGAGAATTTTTTGAAGAAAATCGATCAGAACAAGCTCTACATGAAAAAGATATTGTTCCGCTTCAACTATGTACCAAGTACCACTATGAATGATCACATTACTAGCTTTAATGGTGACTGATCTGATGAATATGGATGTGATTTTTAAAGACGAATATTTGGCTCTGATGTTGATGGGATCACTTCCTGGTGAGTTTGAGTATCTTGAAACTACTCTACTTCATGGGAAGGTTGATGTGTCTCTCAGTGAAGTAACTACTGCCTTGTATAGTTATGAATTGAGAAAGAAACACAAACAAGAAAATACATGTAACACCCCCAACCCGTACCCGACCCGGATACGAGTCCGAGGTGTCACATTGACTTTTCAAACTTTAACTCTTGACAAAATTCAAAGAAAATTTAAAACTTTCCTTAAAGTAAAAGCAGTTTAGTTACGTAATTTGACCACAATAACCAAAATCGATCAGAGCATATTTAACTCAATCAATTAGTACATGCCAACTATATTCAAAATAACAAAAATCATTTAACTCATCTATTTTCTGATCTGAAATCTTGTAAGGGAGATGCTGACCTGTATTACTCTTCTTCTCTTCTCTTCTTGCTTCTGTACCCTACGTGTGAAACAATCACACGCTAAGTCGAAGACTTAGTGAGGCATAAAAAACTTATAATGCACTTTATAACATATATCAATACATGCATGTTCTGTTCTATCATGTTATACCAAATTACATGATTTCCCCGTATCATATAAAATCAATTCAGATTAATTACAGTAAATACATACATACACATAACTCATCATTAACAGTTCATCATGTAATCACATACTTTTATGCTTAGCCTTTTCAATCAAACACTATACACACACAACATCATATCATTTCTATAACATTTATCATATCACTAACATATATTTGTTTATATCTCTTGATTAGCCCATGTACATATGTGAGAACTATAGATATGTGAGTTTATGGAGGTTGTGCACTAATGCTGTCACCACAGCTCATATAAATGCACCAAAGTGCCACATAAAATTGCACCAAAGTGCCACATAAAATTGCACCGTAGTGCCGCGTAGAATTGCACCGTAGTGCCATATAATAATGTCCATAAGGACCACATATCATTCCTTAAGAATCATATACATATACTAGGGATCAAGTATGTGTCTCACCAGACTTCACACATGTTCCAAAGAATACATATATGTCCCGAAGGACCACAATATCCCGAATGACCACATATCATTCCTTAAGAATCATATACATATGCCAAGGATCAAGTATGTGTCTCACCAGACTTCACACATGTTCCAAAGAATACATATATGTCCCGAATGACCACATAGACCCTCGACTCTTGGCATGCCAACTATACCCCTAGCTCTCATGACACATAACATGGGCATTGTCATTTATATCATTTCACTTCACTTATTCATATCATTTCCTTTCTGTCGCGTACCACATGTACGTGTAATCATTGATCTTACAATCACATATTTCATATGGTCACTTGGCTTATTTCATTTCACATTGGGCATGTCTCATAGCATATATCACACATGCATATAATCATGTAACATATATAATAACCTATATCCATTTCAAGTATCCATGCACATATCAAAATCATAAATCAAATAACATTGTATTATTACATACTTTGTTCCATAGCCATATATTTACATATCTTATACTTACCTAGTTTACTCTATTTCACACATAGTCACATAATCACTTAATATACTTACGCATAGATCATTTTCATACCTAAATCATATAACATCCAATTCTTCCTCATAAAGTTATATATTATATTCATATAATATCATATTATCCTATAAGTAAATACTTATCTTATGGTTTGGTATCATCATTTATACTCAATTCCCTTCACTAATATATTATTCTCATATTACTCTATAGTCTAATCTTATTTAACTCATCACCTTTCTCATGTAGTCATATAAATCTATTATATTAATTCTTATAATTGATCACGTATACTATTAAAATGTATGGTCACCTATCATATAACCTATTTCACATTCTCATGCAATCATATAGACCATTCATATTAATTCCTATACTTATCACAATACATGTATTCACACAATCATTTAACACATATTGTAAAATATATCACATACCCAAATCAAACATATGCCTATGATCATAAATTAATGCATTCTAATATAGGAAATAGACTTGTCGCAAGTCTTATTTCCATTAAACATCATAAACTAACTTGTATACACTCACCTGGCCTCACTAGTCCATTCCAATCTCTTATCTTCCCTTTATATCGATCTTACTTGTCAATGATTCCAGAACTCGTTTAGGCTTTGAATCTATATAATTATACATTTTAAGACAATTATTAGATACATACACCTTGTAATTTGATACTAGCAACTTAAACGAACTTCTTAAACCAATATTTACAATTTTCCTTTAAGGGGAATCGGTTCCCTACTATGGGGGTATCGATTCCCTCATGACATTCTGGAAATTTTGTTCGTTTGAAGGGGTATCGGTTCCCCTTGAATGGGTACCGATTCCCCTTGCCCAGAAATCATATTTTTGAGCTCGAAATTCACTTCATTTCAGCTTAAACCTTCATATTTTACTTCCTTTAATATTCCTAACTTCCAAACACATATTTAAACTCATTTTTATTCCATAATCACTTCTTTAAACCCAAATTTCCATCATTTACATGGCATTCAAGAATCACACTAAATTTTTCAATGTGTTCTAATTCCAATTCTAACACTTCATACTTCTTAATTAGATTGATGACAAGTCAAATTCATCCATAAAACTTCAACAACCATACCATATCAAAATTTCATCTTAAAACTCATATTACAAATTCCTTCTTAATTCCTTTATCTTATTGTTTAAATCCCATATAAGCTTTCCTTAAGCTTATTTAATACCCAAAGAATCAAAACTAATTTATAAATTCAAGAATTAAGAAGCTGAAATTAAACTCACCCTTATGAAGTAAACCAACGGGAAGAAGAAAGAAGAAGAATGAAGCTTTCCAGATACTTACTCACCCATAAGCTTCTCTCTTTAAATAAAAGATAAATATCTTTTACATAAAAAGACCATAATACCCTTTTAATTCTTCCATAATTACCATTTAATCCACTATCAAAATATTACACTTTAAATC